TTATCACGTGCATAGGCATAGATCCATTTTGGCTCGAATGGATCGCATAGGCAAGGGCATGATCATCCACCGAATGCATGCATTAGATGTATGTTAGGTTTATTTATATTTGTGATTCATGGGATGGATGAAACGGTAAATAAATGTAAAGATGGTAATCGATGAGATCTAAGGAACCCTAAAGAATTAATGAGATTAATTCATATCAAATCAATAATGGATAGAAATAAGTTAGAACTTATTAATCCAGGCTTTCCATCAAAAGTAGACGATAAGAGATGCTACGATGCTTTATCACTGACCATGAGTCGTGGGGTGGTTTTGTGTCGAAAGCTATGATCCCTACTAAGTATAAAGATACTCATGAAACGGATTCCTCTTTGTGTTGACCATGAGTCGTGGGACACTCTGGTGGGCCGTTATCATGAATGTTTGATGGGTTTGATTTGACACTGAGTAATATATACGGTCATAAAATTGAGGTATATAAAGAAAGGTGAGGCAAAATATCTTGAAGGTTGTATAGCGATACAATTGTCAAAAGTTGACTACCGATATAAGTGTTCCATGCGTACTCATAAAATTGGGATATGGAATATTTTGATTGGACTTCAAGCCCACTATGAAAAATTAGATTTTCATAATTAAAATGGGTTTTAATTAAAATAGTGGGAGACATTTAATATTAAAGACCTAATGTTAAATGAATATAAATTCCATAGTCTAACTATTTTCTGCTTCGTTTGTTATTTTGTAGATCAATACGAAAATGGCTAAAAATCCAATCGCAAGTATACTAGAACAAAACAAATTAACTGGACCCAACTTTAACGATTGGCTAAGGAACCTAAAAATTGTTCTTCAGTCTGAGAAGAGGAAATATGTACTGGACAGAGCCCCTCCTCCTCCACCAGAGGATCAGACATCTAATGAGTATGGAGAGTATTTACGTCATACAGATGATAATCTCCAGGCTCGGTGCTACATGTTAGCATCTATGTCTAATGAGTTGCAGAGACAGAACGAATTGTTGAATAATGCTTCTGAAATACTCCTTCACTTACAAGAGTTGTATGGTGATAGGACGCGGCAGATTAGATATCAGATATCTTAGGAACTTTTCAGGTGTCGTATGACCGAGAGCTCTTCAGTTCATGATCATGGGCTGAAGATGATAGCTCTTGTGGAAAGACTTTCGTCCCTTGGAGTCATTATGGATAATGAACTCTATGTGGATCTCATGCTGCAATCTCTGCCACTGTCATTTGACAGTTTTGTCGTTAACTTTAACATGCATAATATGGAGACTTCTCTGCCAGAATTAGTGAACATGTTAAAGACGGCTGAATCCACAATTAAAAAGGATAAGCCGGTGCTTCTTGTTGGATCCACTTCCAAAGCGAAGACCTTAAAGTTTAAGAAGAGGAATGGGAAGGGAAAGGTTCCCAATAAACCCAACAAGAAGGCAAATAAAGATAAAGGGAAGAACAAAGAAAAGGTTAATCCTCAGTCGAATCATGAATGTTATCATTGTGGTAAAACTGGGCACTGGAAGAGGAATTGCAAGGAGTATCTTGCAAGCCTGAAGAGTTCAGGTATTTATTTTGTTGAAGTTAACTTATCAGTTAATGATTCTTCTTGGGTATTAGATACCCGGCTGTGGCTCACATATTTGTAATGATTTGCAGATGATGGCAAGAAGTAACATGCTAGAAACTGAAGAAAAAATCCTAAGGATGGGCAATGGAGCAAGAGTTGCTGCCAAGGCAATTGGGAATGTT